GGCATTGGCACCCGGAGTTCTAGTCCTGGTCGGGGCGCCGGATTCTGTCCCGGTTGCCCCTCTTCCAGGCCAGCTCTCTGCTGTGGCCCGGGAAGTCAGTGGAGGATGGCCCAAGTGCTTGGGCCCTGCACCTGCATGGGAGACCAGGAGAAGCACCTGGCTCCTGGCTTCGGATCAGCGCAGTACGCCAGCCTCAGCACGCCGGCAGCAGCAGCCATTGAGGGGTGAATCAACGGAAAAGGAAGACCTTTCTGTCTCTCTCTCTCACTGTCCACTCTGTCTGTCAAAAAATAAATAAATAAATAAATAAGAAACAGAAAATGGACTAAGACATTAGAAACCATACAAAATGCACGATAGTTCAAAGTGCAGTATCAATTTTTTTAAGATTTATTTATTTATTTGAAAGTCAGAGTTACACACAGAGAGAAGGAGAGGCAGAGAGAGAGAGAGAGAGAGAGAGAGGTCTTGCATCTGATGGTTCATTCCCCAAATAGCCACAATGGCTGGAGCTGTGCTGATCCAAAGCCAAGAGCCAGGAGCTTCCTCCAGGTCTTCCCATGCGGGTGCAGGGGCCCAAGGACCTGGGTCATCTTCCACTGCTTCCCAGGCCATAGCAGAGAGCTGGATCGGAAGTGGAGCACCAGGGTCTCGAACCAGTGCCCATATGGGATGCCGGCACTGCAGGCAGCGGCTTTATGCTCTACACCACAGTGCCAGCCTGGCAGTATCAGTTTAACAGTGTCCTAACTGAAATTTTAAACACTGTCACCGAAGAGGAACTAGAAAAATTAGTTCACCTAATGATCTACTTTTCATGAACATTAGGCATGGAGCACAATGAAAAGTGCTTGGCATACATTAGGTCTAATTTTTTTTTAAAGATTTTATTTATTTTTATTTCAGATATAGAATTACAGGCAGAGAGAGGAAGAGACAGAAAGAAAGGTCTTCCATCCACAGGTTCAGTCCCCAAATAACTGCAACGGCTGCAGCCGGGCCAATCCAAAGCCAGGAGCCTGGAACTTCCTCCAGGTCTCCCATATGCATGCAGGGGCCCAAGCACTTGGGCCATCCTCTGCTGCTTTCCCAGACCATAGCAGAGAGCTGGATCGGAAAAGGAGAAACTGGGACACAAACTGGGGCCCATATGAGATGCCAGAGCCACAGGTGGAGGTGTAGCCTACTATGCCACGGCACTGTCCCCCATTAGTTCTAGTTTTACAAGCTTCTATTGCCTTGTAGTTCTTTTAGGTGATAAAGGTCATTGGCTGGAAAGAAGTTTAGTAAAATCTTGATAAATGTTGAATCTGGATTATGTTTTTTAAAGGGGGTAAATTATGAAATTCTTGCCATTTTGCATATGTTTGAATATTTTCACAATAAAGAATATATTTTTAAAGAAAGAAATAAAATTCAATATGAATCACCACTTACATTCAAGTTAATAAGTATCTTTCCATACTTCATTCTAACTTCAAGAGCATTCTGTGAGATGATTATTTGAGCAAATAGTGGTAGTAATATCAATAGTTTCCCAATGAACAGTTGATAAAGCAGTGGTTCAGAGATGATGAGGCTTCCCAGTGTCATGTGGTACAGATAGGGGGCCAAAGCTCTTGCTATGAGCAGGGCGGGTAAAGACCCTGAAATCAGATGTATATGCTCTGATTCTACAGGCTAACCACTTTTTTCCTTTCCCAGTCTTCTCTGGTAATTTTCTTTTTGGTGGAGGGTGGTGGTTAGGATCGATATGCCCTACTTTGTCTCATGAAAGAGTCAATTATTCCTACAGTACCTTTGTACACACAGTCCTTTACATTCAAATTCAAGGATAAGAATAATCCCTCTGACATCCAACTGTGGTATCTAAATCAAGAAACCCAGATAAGAACCTTGTTCCCCAGCCCCAATAACTGAAATTGACCTAATCAACAAGCTATAGACACCCTCCCAACCATAAATACATGCTAAAAAACTGCTTTCATTAAAACACCCCGTTCCAAAATTCAGTTTTCCATTATCTCAAATGCTGACATCCTGTCTTCTTCCATGAATTCCACCCCCATCCAACTTTGACATCTTATTTCCTACTCAAGGTCACATTTCACATGCATTTACTCTCCTGGGCATGCTGGCTGTATTGGGATCCTTGAGACAAGCTTCATATTTGTTCCCCACTGGGGTTGTTCATACTAACTTCGTTTAACTGGGATTACCTGCACAGCCTTCTGAGCATTTGCCAAAGTTTGACCCATACAGTGAGTGCAAGGTAAATCCCAGTATCTCAAAACAAAACAAAACAAATTCTACTAAGAACAGGGAACTAAAACCTGCTGCTGCTAAGAATAAAGACTCTTCAAAGGCCTGAATCCTTGTCCATTTCCTTTAGGTTGTGTGACCTTGATGCCATAGAACGTTTCAGAACTCCCATTTCTTCAGTTTCTAAAGAAAGTGTTGACTTCCTCCTCAGCGGACAACTGTGAGGGTTGATTAGCCAAGCCATGGTGCACAGTGAGCACCCACATGATGTCTGTCATCAGCATAAACTAGGTCAGACTTTTGTGGCTCCACTGAATATCACATCCACTCAGGAGCAAAGGCTGGATCTCTATGGCATCTTCAATCACAGCACAGATTCATGTGTAGACTGACTCTGTTGAGTCTTAATCCCCTAACTTCAGCATCAGCTTCAATTGACTGAATCCTCACCATGAGTATTACCTGTATTACTTCACTTTAACTTTACAATAGCATAGTGCAAGTACCATCAGGATCCTCATTCTACAGATGTGGCACATGAGGCATACGAAGATCAACTATTTTACCCCTGATCACACAAACAGGTTAATGCCGGGCCTGATTAGTCTTTCCCTATACTGTGAGACTCCTTTCTCTGATGTGGACTGATTTCCTTCACTAATTTATGAGAATCTACAGCTCAATGGTCAAGCATTGTGGCACTACCAACATTTCCCAGCACAGGGAACTGTATGTTTAGCAGCTAATGAAGACTTACTGTCTAAAACACATAGAAGTACAAAAATCCATAGTAGAGGTATTATATTCATTACAAAACATCATATCTACCTTGCCACCTGGAGAGAATAACCATCATTTCTTTTCTCTTGTGGACCCTTGTGAATAAATATGAAATTGACTAAAAGCGCAACTGTGAGACAGCATGATGTGGCCATGGTCTATCTTTAATTTCTATTGTCTTAATTAAACTGCCAATGAGGCAGTTCCCGTTGCTATTCCCACTTCACAGATGAGGAAACTAAGGAAAAATGCAGAAGAGGCAGCTCGCCAGGTTAGCCAGCTAGCGAGTGGTGAGCAAAAGCAAGGTTTCAAATTTTATGAGTCTAGGTCCAGGATCCCTGTTCTCATACATTTGGTATATTGAACTATGATTCATGGTTCTTCTTACTTAGCATGAAGCTCTATTCAAGATTTAAAATTTTCAAAGTGTGAATTGACTTAACTAAAAATTTTCAATTATTTGAGAGGCAGACAGACACACACATACAGAGAGAGAGAGAGAGCAAGAGAGAGAGAGAGAGAAGAGGGATGGGGGAGAGAGCTCATCTGCTGGTTCACTCCTGAGATGCCCACAACAGCCAGCAGGAAGGAGAGAACCAGGAGCTGGGAAATCAATGCAGGTCTTCCATGCAGGTGGCAGACATTCAATTACTTGAGGGATCACTGCTGCCTCCCAGGGTCTGCATTAGGAGGAAACTATTTTTTAACCATTATCAGGGAATAGGAGGTGAGGATGTATTCTTTAGAAACAGTAGGTGAGCTGACTAGGGTCTGCGATATATTTAAGGGACCACAGAAATGGCCTAATTTCTAATATAAAATGGGGTGAATGAAAACAGTGCAGGTAAACATGATAAATAAAGTACATTGGAAACCATGATAATCCCCATTTTCAGAAGTTAATTTTTATATTCCTGATATGAACACCTCTTTCAAAATCTACGAAACATGCCTTTTTTTTCTTCTACAAAACATGTCTTGATGGAAAAACTGAAGAACTTACAACCTGGAAATGACCCTCTTTAATTTGACAACAAATAAAAGCTATTGCTCAGGAAGGGTTCAGGAAGATATTTCTGAGAAAAGTGACAGAGAGAGAGAGAATGAGAGAGAGAAGGGGGTAAGGCAGGAACAGGAAAGGGGGAAGTGGCCCAGTTCAAGGAGCACAACACAGAAGAAACCACTCCCTTTTGTAGAAGGTCTACAGCCAGAGGCACATATACTGTGTACCACGACATTTCAAGACAAAAATATTGCAACCAGGTTAAAAAAAAATTAAAACAAACATAAGAGTCCTGTGCAGTGTAACTGCTCTTGGAACAAGCGCTGTGGAGGCTTCTACATTTGCACTATGATGTGGATTCATTACGAAAAATAACTACCTTGTGAAATATTTTCAGAGGTACACTGGGAAGTATTGTTTTGTTTTCCATGATGCAATAGTAGTAAGCTTTGAAAGCCCAGTAATCTTGCAAACCTAGCCCCCAGCTCCAGTTATTGGAAACTCCAGAAGCAAGGCAAGCTCTGAAGTCCTGGTAGTAACACAAGCTCTGCCAAAACTCAAAGCAAGCGGCCTCTTAACTGATCATATTAGCTTAATTTCTACCCCCTGCCAAGTATTGGCTGCTAGCTTTGCAGGGCTGGACCAAAAGATACTTTCCATACAGCTCTTCAAAGCCCCTGAAACTAGTGTCAGGTATTTCAACCTTATCCCCCCTCCCTCCCCCACCCCAAATTCAGTTGCACAGCCCAGCACAGCTGCGTCCCTGGGAAGATTGCTCTCCAAGTGGGGGGAAGGCAGCTAAATTGCAACATGGAGGCAAAAGTTCTATATTCAGATATGCGCACTTACAGCGCTCTTCTTATAAGAACCCTCCCCCACCTATGCCCGCACAACACATGTCTGAGCCCTTGCAGGAGGTTTACCTCAGGGAACCAACCCATAATAACTGGTGGTGAGGAGAAAGCTAAAACAGGGCGTCAAGAGCTGGATACACTGTAACCCAGCCTAGGCGCCAAGAGAAGATACTTGGAGACTGCCACTCACAGCTCTAGCCCTGCCCGGGTGATCACGCGAGACTCCAGCTCAGATCTCTGAGGACGCACACAGCTCCACCACAGCGCCCAGGATATGGAGACCCCGGCCCGGCACAGCGGGCGCTCTGTCACCACCTGGCCAGGCCTGGGATTCGATGAGAATCAGGAAGGACTGCGTAGTCAGCACCTGGAAGGTATACCTGTTTTAGCCATGTCCACGAAAACAGTGTTCCCCGTGGGAGGGGGTGGCGTCCTCCTTCCCAAGAACCCTGGAACCCAGACACCCTCATCTTTCTCTTTGGGTTTGTTTGTTTTTGGCAGGTGTGAGGCCTACAGCCATCTCGCTCCCTGCAGAGGAAGGAGACAAGGAAGGGTGTTTGCTGTTCCAGCGGAAGCAGGGAGCAGATGTAGGAGAGGAAGGAGAAAAAGAAGAAACGCGAGGAGGAGGCGGAGAAGGAGGCCCGGATGGCGCCAGGTCGCAGAGCCCGGATGGCGCCAGGTCGCAGAGCCCGGATGGCGCCAGGTCGCAGAGCCGCGCAGAGGAAGGCGGCAGCCAGTTTCGCGCTAGCGCCCTGTCCCCCGCTGAGGAAGAGGGCAACCAAGTTGGCGCCAGATCCCCTTGGCCTGCACAGGAAGAAGGCAGACAGGTTGGCGCCAGCGCTCTGGGTCCAGCATTTGAAGAAGGCGGCCTTGTTGGCGCCAGCTCTTCCGGGCCCGCAGAGGAAGAAAGCGGCCTAGTTGGCGCCAGCGCTCCCGGGCCCGCAGAGGAGGAAGGTGAATTGGATAGCGCCAGCGACTCGGGCCCAGCAGAGGAAGAAAGCGGCCTGGCTGACGCCAGCTCTTCTGAGTCCGCAGAGGAAGAAGGCGGCCTGGCTGACGCCAGCTCTTCGGAGTCCGCAGAGGAAGAAGGCGGCCTGGTTGGCGCCAGCTCTCCCGGGCCTGCCGAGGAAGAAGGCCGCTCGGTCGGCGCAGCGTTTGAAGAAGAAAGTCTATTTGGCGCCAGCGCTCCAGGCCCGGTGGCCCACAACCACCACGTGGGCGGTACCGCCAGAATTGGTGGCCAGGAGCTTGGGCAGCAGCAGGAGCCCGTTTCAGGGGCCACCAACAGTCTCCGAGATAGGAACAGGCATGAGCAGCAGGTCAGGCGCCCCACGTTCACCCCACTGCAGCTGCAGGAGTTGGAAAGAATTTTCCAGCGTAACCATTACCCGGACGTATTAGCACGGTAAGCAAATTGCCAGAGTGGGCTCCTACTTTGGATAGCATGTGCTAGCCCAGGGCACCCTTTAGTTCTCCCATATACCCTTCCTTCCTTTCCTCCTGAAGTAAAGCTCATCTCATAGACTCCAGGTACCAGCGTCCTCTCCCCTTTGCACTTGAGTTTCCGGTGGGGATTGGAGCTATGTGAACTGGGAATGAAGGTAAATATTTTCATGCAGTATTTCTTAAAATTGTATTAATTTATTTAAGTGTACATTAGATACAGAGAGACAGCACTCCTAACCCCTGGTTCACTCCCCTAATGCCCACAAGTTATAACTGCTGCAGACCAAAGCCAGGAGGAGGGAACTCAATCCAGATCTGGAACGAGTATGGCAGGGACCTAACCCCTTGAGCCACCACCTGCTGCCTCCCAGAAAGATGGAATCTAGTGACCAAACTTGAATGCAGGCACCCTCATATGGGATGGAGGCATCCCAAACAGCCTCTTAACTGCTGTGCCAAAGGCCAGTCCCTCATGCAGTATTTAAGTGAATCAAATTAATACATTTTGGGTGGCAAATGTTATAAATAAAGTCCAGTAAGAACTGAGTCAGGGATAAAGGGGAGGAGCCTGGGCCATGGTGGAGCACCTGCAGTGTGGGACCCTGCCTTTATTTAAATTTTCAAACATCAGTTCATCATAGATTTTTGCATTAATCTCTATATTTTAAAAATACTACATTCCCACCATATTTATCTTGATTACTGATTTTGGGGAATCCTTTTAAAGTTTGTGCATGAGAGGAAACTCCCTAAAACAGCCTCAGCTTGATGCTACAGAATAGTGTACTTGGTGGAGAGACATTAATGGGGTACATGTTAAAACCAAGAGGCACCTGTTGTAGGAGTTAAAGATGCAGTTTCAAATGCCACTTCCTGGTTATGTAAATAATACCTCAAGTACTTGGGTTCCTGCAACCCACATAGGAGACTTGGAGAGAGATGTTGGCTCCTGACTTCAGCTTTTCCCAGCCCTGGCTATTGTGAACATTTGGGGAGTAAAACAGTGGGTGGAAGATCACTATTTCTGAACTGTCTCTATCACACTCTCTTTCCCTCTCCTATTAAATAATTTAATTTATAACAAGAAGGAGGGACCAGCATTGTGGCATAGCAGGTAAAACCTCCTCCTATAATGCCACCATCCCATATAGGTGCCAGTTTGAGTGTACTGGATGCTCCACTTTTGATCTAGTTTCCTGCTAATGGCCTGGAAAAAGCAGCTGTGGATAGCCCAAGTATTTGGGCCTCTGCCATCCTTGTGAAAGACGTGGATGAAGCTCTCAGATTCCAGGCTTTAGCCTGGCTCAGACCTGGCAATAGCAACCATCTGAGAAGTGAGCCAGCAAGTGGAATTTTCCCTCTCTCTCCTTCTCAGCCTGTAATTTTGACCTTCAAATAAATAAATAAATATTTTTAAAAATAAAGAAAACAAGAAGGAGATAAAATCCTCTATTTCATTTCATCCACTAATCAAAACACTGACCATTTGTGGTTTTCTCCCCTCAGACTGGAGCTGGCAAGACGCATGGATGTAACTGAAGCCAAAGTGCAGGTCAGTACACCTGAAAAAAATTAGGGAGGGAGGACATTCTAAAAACATATTACAAGGCTTGGACAACTTTATCATCGACATTGCTATGTTGAATTTGTGTTCCATATTCCATTATTGGGAAATGAACTTTGCATTTTGGGGTGTGTATACAAAACGATATAAGGAAGCCCTAGCTTACAGCAATTTCCCATTACCAGAGAGAACAAAAATATGCCAACGAAAAAATATTTAGCATGAAGTAATTTCTTTTTCATTCCCTGTACACATAGATGCATATTGTATAGTATATTACATAAAAGATTTCGTATAGGGGCCGGCGCCATGGTTCACTTAGTTAATCCACTGCCTGTGATGCAGGCATCCCATATGGGTGCCAGGTGCTCATCCCGGTTGCTCCTTTGCCAGTTCAGCTCTCTGCTGTGGCCTGGGAAGGCAGTGGAGGATGGCCCAGGTGCTTGGGCCCCTGCACCCGCATGGGAGACCAGGAGGAAGCACCTGGCTCCTGGCTTTGGATCGGCATAGCTCCAGCCGTAGCGGCCATTTGGGGATGAACCAACGGAAGGAAGACCTTTCTCTCTGTTTCTCTCTCTCACTGTCTAACTCTGCCTATCCAAAAAAATAAATAAGTAAATAAATAAAAGATTTTGTATAATTAATGAGAACTTTAATTATATATGACAGTAATAGATATATGATAATATATAAAAGTGTATATTCATCATTTATATTTTAAATATGTGTCCCAGATTGTGAATATATATCTAATGCTATTGTCTTATAGGGTGCGCTTATTTATGGAGTCATGCTGGGGCTAAGACTGACGTGAGAATTATTCAAATTATTGTACCCAAAAATTTTTATTATGAGCAGGCTTAACTGTAACCCTAAATTGTTTTACACATTTAAAACCAGGCATACGGTTCTTGCTTAAGGTGTACTTTTGTAAATAGTTAGGCCTCAGTGTGAAGGAATAACTCACATAGAAGACACAACATTGCTGAAGTATATATTGTTAAGCTGCAGCTCGTTCTAATACCTAATGTCTGCTCCCCCCGCTATTGGTTTTGCAAGGCTGGTAAACTACTTTAGAGTTGGCTGTAGATTTTGATTTTCTGGAAATCCTTGGTGTGTAGCCTGAAAAGTTTACTAATCTAAGGGTTGTACATTATGATGCAGATGGGGCAAAGTTTTCACTCTGTGAAAGGTTATCTAAAATATGAAACAAGCAATTCAAAGGGACAGTTTTGAATAAAGTTCCACTAACCTAAAAGGATATGGGGATATGGAGGACATCCATCAACTCAAACGTTTATAATTTCTCTGTGATGAGAATATCCCCAAATCTGGCATCTAGCTATTTTGATTTCTACAATACAGTGTTGTTCAATGTAATAACTACTCTGTGGCATAGCACACCAGAATGTCTTTTCCTCCCATCCACAAACATGGTGACACCTGCCTAGTGAGCAGGGACCGGTGCCAGCTGGATTGCTGATGGTCAGCTCAGGGTACAGACAAACCCATGGCAATAGCAGCAGAAACCTAGTCCAGTACATCAGTCAGACCTGTATCAACCAGTGCGCAGAATAAGATATTATTAAAGGTAGGAAGAGAGAGACAAAGCAGTACACCAAGCCAAGACTGGCACATAGTTGGAGCTCACTGAGGGAAGGATGTTCTTTTCCTAAGATATTTTAGTGAGAAGGAAGTAGTTTCTCACAACACAGGTGAAAAGGGTTAGGACAGAGTTGCCTATTCTGTTTTTCTATGACAAAATGGAATGTTCACTGTACTAAACCAATCTCTTTTTCTTCTCTGATTGAAGGTTTGGTTTAAGAACAGGAGAGCCAGGTGGAGAAGATACCAGAGAACTCTAAGGGCCAGAAATACACCCCCTATTGTCCAGCACTACCCTGTCACCGTAATGTGGGGTGGAACCTATTATGCCATGTTTGCTTGGGACCCAAATTTGGTGCCATTCCTTCCGGGGGCACTGCCATTCTTGCTGCCCCTGCCACCTATACGACCCCTGTTGCTGTGGCCACCCATGCCCACGCCTGTGCACTTGATGATGCCCATCCCATGGCCTATGCAGCCGCCCATGCCACCGCCGTATCCTCCCCTATTCTTGCCTCCTCTGCCCTTCTATTTCATGCCCCTGTCTCCGTATGGCCCGGTCCCCTGTGGCCTGATCTGGATCCTTATTGTGAGCCATTCTTTTTGAGACCCCTTTTTATAAGGAATACTTTCTGAAACTATTTTTTCCAAAATGTTTTAGGGCAAGATAAAATTTTGTGTGGCACACCATTGTGAGCGGTTCATCACATGCTTGTTAAATGTTTACTTGAAAGTACGATGTCATGGACCCACTTTCTGACACGGTTTTGTATTTTCAATAAAGAAATTGACAGTGAATTCTGTGTATATCTGTTTTGTGTCACGGGGTTGAGAGTTTATGGATGGAAACTGCTAAGGAAATGCCATTCAAGCAGAGTGGTAAGCGGCTCCTTTCATACAGTGACATCCTGAGTCACCACCAGGGGCTGTGCACATGACAGAAGTTTCACAAGTGCCATGGCAGCATTGCTCTGACCTATACTCCTTCTGCTCTCCTACCCCAACACTGCACACTCACCCCACTCTGCCCCATGGGGATCACATACATGTACAAGATGGGGGAGTGCATGTCCCTAATGAGAGAACAGTGGTTCAAGGCAGGACCAAGATCCAGTCATGCTGACAGGCTCAGACAAGGCACCAAGCTCTAAGGGAAGCCTGCTAAGGGGCCTCTGGGGACTTGCAGGAGCAATAGGAGCTGGGGATTCATGTGGTGCTCTCCCAACCCTGTTCACTGCTGGCCCTCTTTGTGGAGAAGACAGGGAGATTATCCTTGCTAGCAGGAGGACCCTGCCCTTGCAATGGACACAAAAGAAGACACTCCACCAAGGTCAGAAAAGGTCCCCCCTTTCCTGTCCACACCCGCAGACGTGGAGTGCATATTTCTGTACCGTTCCCAGCTGACAAGTTCACTGTCATGCCTTCAAATGTATTTTTGTCACCTTCAACATTATTGAGATAACTCTGGTTCCAAGTAATTAAGCACTGAAAGGGAACCTCTTGGTTTAGTGCTGCCTGAAGGAAGAAGGAGTCCCTGAGCAATGATGCAAATTAGTTTTACTTAAAGAAGCAGTTAGAGCTTGGCCTTGTGCTGATTTTTTACTTGAAATTTCCTTGGTGCAAGACAAGAAAAACAGGTTACTGGTAAAAAAAACTAAGCCTGCTTTTTACAATTTAGTAAACTGAAGTTGACTAATGAAATTTGACTGTCATGTCCTCAGAGGTATTTTGTCACCTTCCACATTGCTGAAAGAACAATTAAACTCTGAAAGTGAACCTGTTGGTTTAGTGCTTCTTGAAGGAAGAATGTCAGTCCCTGAGCAATGGTCCAGAATAATTTTATTTAAAACAAGTAGTTTCTGTGGGTGTTGCGATATTGCTGGTTTGCCATCACTTTGGATGTCCATATATCATAATTGAATGCTGGGGATCAATTCTCACATCTGCTTCAATCTAGCTTAGTGATAATGCGCAATCTGGGAGCAGCAGGTGATTGCTCAAATACTTGGTTCTGTTTCCCTTTTGGGAGACCTGGAGTGAGTTGCTACCTCCTGGACCCTGAATTTCACCTGTCCCAGCCCCTGCTATGTAAACATTTGAGGAATGATCCTGTGAATGGAATCCCTCTCTCTCTCTCTCCCTCCCTCCCTTCCTCCATCCCTCTCTCTCCTTCTCTCCCGCTCTCCCTCTATCCCTCTCTCTCTCATAGAAATAAATAATATTTTTAAAAACCTCTGGTGAAAAAGTGTAGTATACAGAGCCAGGATCTTGGCCTAGCAGCTTAATTACTACTTTGATGTCTGCCTCCCATATGGTATTGCCTGAATTTGAGTCCTAGTTATTGTGTTTCTCTTCCAACTTTCTGCTAATGCACACCCTGGGAGGCAGCAGATAATCAAGTACTTAGGTACCTGCCTCCCAAATGAGACCCAAATGGAATTTCAGCCTCTGGATTCAACCTGGCCCAGCCATTGTTATTTCAGGCATTTAGGGATTGAATCAGTGAATTGTCTCTCAAATATAACGAAAAAGTAGTAAGACCTTGGCTTTGTTTATACTTTTTCATATGGAATTGCCACAAGGAAAGAACAAAAGCATAACAAAGTATTAGGAAAGAATCCAGGGACATTTTTTAAATTCACTAAGTTTAGAGTCTGGACAGGATGTGGCACAATGTGTTAAGTTGCTATCTATAGCACTGGCATCCCATGTGCGTGCTGCTTCGAGGCCTGGGTGCTGCTTCGAGGCCTGGCTGCTCCACTTTTCATCCAGCTCCATCGTAATGCGCCTAGGAAAGCAGTGGAGAATGGCCCAAGTACTTGGGTCCCTGCTCCCATGTGGGAGATCCGAAAAATGCTCCTGGCTCCTGGCTCCTGGCTTCAACTTGGCCCAACTCAGGTTTTTACAGCCATTTGGGGAGTGAACCAGTGGATGGAAGATCTCTCTCCTCTCCTTTTCTCCTTATTTCTGTATATCTCTGACTTTCAAATAAATACATATGTCTTTTTTAAAAATTCCCCAAGCTTTCTCTTTAGAAATGCAAATCTCCTTTAAGATAGTTTTCTGTTAAGCACGAATTTAATTAATGTCAGTGAATTATACACTTAAAACTGTTTAGAATGGCCAAATTTTTATACATGTTTTACCACAGCAAAATAAAGAAAAATATTGCAGAAAATGTATAAAAGTGATTAATTGGGAATATCATGCCCATACTCTCAAATGATTGGAAAGTTTGTTGATAAAGAGCCATAGTTTTATGTATTTGAGAAGTTATCTCTTGGAATACTAGGCTGATAAGTTATTTTAGTCTGATATACTAGACTCTGAACTTCCAAAGCAGAATTCTTGTGCATTGGCCAATTAAAATTCATAGAATTAGATTAGAATGCCCTTTCACTTAAAAGTGTCAGATGAATAGAAATTCACCTTAAAACAGATATTGTTGAGACAGTATATTATGGGGCTAGTTAAAGGACTGGGTAGGAAATGAGTTATAATTTATTTTTTTCTGAGGCATAATAGTAGACGCAGTAATGTTACAACCTTCATTCACCCTACACACACTTGATTATCAGTATACATCACATTATACCTTTACATTCCATAGAAAGAAATTATATATTGTCCTTGTGTGACTTTATTCAATGTCCAATCAAATACTAAAACAAGGTACTAGGATCCCCATCTAAAGAAGAAAAAGCTATTGCTCAAGATCAAAAATCTAATAAGAGGACCAGGATTGTAAACCAAGTCCCTCTGCATCCAGAGCCCATGTTTTCTCATGATTACTACAGTGGTCATGCACAGGGATGGTACAATTATAGCAACATGGCTTCGTTTTTTAAAAAAGCATTGTGATATCATTTTTTCCTAGATATCTTTTATTTAAGTTATACAAACTTCATGCATTTCATATATGCAAATTTAGGAACGTTGTGATCCTTCCCACCCTACCCTCCCTTCCTGCCCACACTCCTAAACTTTTTCCTCCTCCCTCTCATATTCCCACTCTTAATTATTACAAAGATCTATTTTTAGTTTACTTTATACTCATAATATTAACTCTACACTAAGTACAGAGTTCAACAAATAGTCTGAAAACAAAACAAAACAAAAACTGTGCTCCACAGTAGTTGATACAAGAGCTGTTTAAAATCATCGCAATGTTAAGTGGCAAAGTCCCTTCTAGAGATTACCTTTTAGATACTATATTAGTTACCACAGATCAGGAATACATATTTGTCTTTTTGGGACTGGCTTATTTCACTAAGTATGATGGTTTCCAGTTGCATCCATTTTGTTGCAAATGACAAAATTTCATTTTTTTTACCACTGTGTAGTATCCGATGGTGTACATTTCCCATAATTTCTTTATCAAGTCTTCCATTGATGAACATGTAGGTTGATCCCATATCTTAGCTATTGTGAATGTAGCTGCAATAAACATGAGGGTACAGATAACTCTTTCATACATTGATTTTATTTCCCTTGGGTAAATTCCCAGCAATGGGATGGCTGTGTCTTAAGGTATGTCTATATTCAGATTTATGAGGTATCTCCATACTGTCTTCCACAGTTGCTGTACCAGGTTATAATCTTACCAGCAGTGGACTAGGGTAACTTTTTTCCCCACATACTCACTAGCATTTCTGTAGGAACGCCATTCTAACTGGGATGAAGTGAAACCTCATTGTGGTTCTGACTTGTATTTCCTTGATAAATAATGATCCTAGCCGGCGCCGTGGCTCAATAGGCTAATCCTCCACCTTGCGGCGCCGGCACACCGGGTTCTAGTCCCGGTCGGGGCGCCGGATTCTGTCCCGGTTGCCCCTCTTCCAGGCCAGCTCTCTGCTATGGCCAGGGAGTGCAGTGGAGGATGGCCCAGGTGCTTGGGCCCTGCACCCCATGGGAGACCAGGAAAAGCACCTGGCTCCTGGCTCCTGCCAGGATCAGCGCGGTGCGCCGGCTGCAGCGGCGGCCATTGGAGGGTGAACCAACGGCAAAGGAAGACCTTTCTCTCTCTGTCTCTCTCTCTCACTGTCCACTCTGCCTGTCAAAAAAAAAAAAATAATAAAAAAAAAAAATAAAAATAAAAAAGATAAATAATGATCCTGAGCATTTTTTTTTCATGTATCTTCTGGGCATTTGAATTTACTCTTTTAAAAAATGCCTACTCTGGGGACAGCGCTGTGGTGTAGCAGATAAAGCCACCACCTACAGTGCCAGCATCTCATATGGGCACTGGTTTGAGACCCAGCTACTCCACTTCTGATCCAGCTCTCTGCTATGGCCTGGAAATCAGTGGAAGTGCAGCTTCTGCCATTGCAGCCAATTGGGGAATGAACCAGCAGATGGAAGGCCTCTCTCTCTCTCTCTTTCTGCCTCTCTTCCTTATGTAACTCTGACTTTCAAATAAATAAATAAATCTTTAAAAAAATGCCTATTCAAATACTTTGTCCATTGTGTAACTGGATTGTTTCTTTTGCTGTTGTTGAGTTTCTTGAGCCCTTTATAGATGCTGGATATTAATCGTTTATCAATCACATAGTTTGCAAATATTTTTCCCATTCTATTGATTGCCTTTTCACTTTGCTGAGTGTTTCTTTTGCCATGCAGAAGCTTCTCAACATGATGCATCCCATTTTTCAATTTGGCTTTGATTGTCTGTGATTCTGGGGTCTTTTCCAAGAAGTCTTTTTCTATTTCAATGTCTTACAGAGTTTCCAAATGTTCTCTAGTAATTTGATGGTATCAGGTCACAGATTTAGGTCTTTTATCCATTTTA